GAATCTCCACACTGATTTACACATTGATTGTACCAGTCTATACTCCATAGTAGAGAAGAGTTCCTTTTTCTCCACAGCCCTGCCAGCATTTGTTATTGGTTGATTTCTTGATGTTGTCCATTCTTTCTGGGATGAGATGGAATCTCAGTGTTGTTTCAATTGGCATTTCTTGACTAACCAGTGCTATTGAACATTTTTCATATATTTATTTACCATTTGTATTTCTTTCTTTTTTTGCATTTCTTCTTTGAGAAATGTGTTTTCATCTCAGGTGGCCATTTTTAGATTGAGTCTTTGAATTTGAGGGGACTGAGTTTTAAATTGTCTTTATATGTTATAGATAGAAGTCCTTTGTCTGAGGGAACAGTTTGCTAATTTTTTCCCCATTTTGTGGGTTTTCTTTTTCTTTTTGTTCTATTAGTGATTTCTTTTGATGTATAAAAACTTTTTAGTAAGATGAGATCCCAGTTATTTATTCTTTGTTGTACATCCCATGCAGTTTGTATATCAGGAATTTGTATGGAATCAATTTTTACATTGTTGAGAGATTTTATGCTTGTATGTGAGGAGTGGGGGATTTAAGTAGGATAGGGTGCAAGATAGATGAATGAGGATAAATACAGTATGAATATAAGTACAAGTTAAAGGATGATCACCTAAGTTTTGATAACGTGAGAACACAGGAGAGAGAGAGAGAATGAAAGAGAAAGGAAGAGAATGTTGATGTGAAACAGGAGAAGAAACGCTATTACACTCACATGAAAATACCATAAAATCAAGAGAGTTAAGTGAGGAAAGATAGAAAGAAGATGGATGGAAGAAATCAAAAAGTAATGTAAGAAACCTAAATAGTAAAAAAAAAAAAAAAAAAAGGAGAAAGAACTCTCGCAAACTCCTAACCATACTGAAAAAGGAAAGCCAATCAATGAAAAAGAAAAATAATAAAACTCCTCTGCTGTTGATAAATTTGTGATGGTATCCAGTTTAGATCCCAGAAATGTTCTGAGTTATCCTTATGAGTTTACAGTAGGCTTTGCACTGCATATGTGGTTGATCTTTGCCTCTTGATGTGGAGGCTGGGACTTGTGTGAAATTGACGGTGTTTTGGATGCTTTTTTTTTTTTTTTTTTTCCATGATTGTCTCTATGTAGTTCCCTCAGTATTATGGTGCCCTTAGAGAGGGAACGTCCAGAATTACTCCCACACCTTTGTACTGTAGGCTCCTTGTAGACCTTGCAAAGCCTTTTGTTGTCCACATCACTGATTCATTTTGCACTCTGGTCTTTGTATAGGGGGTAGTAACCTTGTCCTACTGCAGGCCAAGTCTGCTTGTCTACTTATACCACTGGGCGAAGGTTGCTCTATTGGTCACAGATCCAGCAGACACTTCCATTCCTTTGTACTTAGGGCTAAGATTGGCTTTTGGTGGCCACCAGAGCAAAGTCTAGATGTTAGTAGCTCATCCCTCTCAGCAGAATTTCCCTTAGTCTCCTTCCTACTTTCTGGAAATCTACTGTGACTGGATGGCTCTTCCCTCATTCTACTCCAGGACTTTGGCATGAAGTAACTCTGGCTACTAGAGTTCACCTAGAGCCCTTTGAAATCAAATGGTGGCCCTAGCTTCCTGCTTCTGTTCCTGCGGCACAGAACTAGTTTGCCTCATTCATCAACAGTCTCTGTATGACTCCTTTGGAAACAGTGTCTAGTATTCTTACTGCTGTTTAATCTTTTCTCTGTGACTGGGCTGCCTGTTCCACCTGCTATGACACGCTACATAACACTTTTATTTCATTTTCAATCATTTTTCTGCCTTATTTGTACTGACTGTCTCTGTAGCATAATGTTAATAGAAATGGTGACAGTGTATATCCTCTTCTTGTTTGTAACTAAATGATAAAGTACTCAGTATTTCCTCAATATGGATATTTTAAATCATATATGTACCCTTTATCAGATCAAACAAGTTCTCTTTATCAGTATGTTAAGAATTTCTGTCCAGTAGATCCTAAATTTTATTAAGTATTTTTTATCCTGGAGATAACTATGATGTTCTAATTGATTTATTGATTTTTTAAATTTTTACGCTCAGCTGTATTTATTACCTCTAAAGCAGAATGTGACCTAGGCACTTTCACAGGCCTTGTTCCGAATGATTTTTGATATAGCTCTGCAGTATCCCTAGGAAGTTGTTTCTCCCTTGAAACAATACTTTGTATTTAGTACAGTGTTTACAGGGTCTCACTTCACAGATCAGACTCATAGTATCCTCCTGTTTTCAGTCTTCCAAGCACTGGGATTTTAGGTGCGTGCCACCATGCCCAGTCTCAATCGCTGTCTCAGTGTGCTCTGGGTGTGGGGCTGGCACAGCATGCTGGGGATTGAACCCCAGTCGCTGTGCCTGCCTAAGCAGATTTTTTGATTTTCTGTGATCAAACCAATTTTAAAATTCTTTTTCTATTATCTTTTGGAAGTGTATATATCAGATTGGTATTATTTCTTTAGATGTTTAGACAGGTTCACTGGTAATTTCATCATGTTCTAGTATTTTATTTTTGGGAAGATTTTAATTGTAGATTCACTTTTTTTATAGTGAAAATATGTACACTTAGAATCAGGCAGCTGGATTTAGTTTATATAATCCCCAGTTTTGTTACCAATATCCAAAGCATCATACTCAGCCATCTGTCCAACACACTTTTTCTCTTTCAGTCCCAATGAGGTCATTGACCTTGGCAATATCATTGTCATGCCTGACTCTGGTTGGGGGAATTTGATAATAGAGTGCACTATTATTCTATTAGTATGATTTTCTGAGGATTTTTGGGCTAATTGTTGAGCTGCAGTGTCTTAAGCCACCAGATGGTAGTTAGCCCTGAAGCTTTGCTTCCTTTATGATGTTTTAGTTACTTTTTACTCATTGATGGGACAAATACCCAACACTCAAAATGAAGGAAGGAAAGGTTTATTTAGCTCACAGTTTTTGGAGGTTTCAGTTCATACTCCACTGGCTCCAACACAAAGGATGGCAGTTCATGGTGGCAGAAAACAATAAAGAGCAGAGAAGAGCAGCAGCTATGGCATCCATCAAGCCTCTCTCTTTCTTCTGCAATGACTGTGAAGACCGGCAGTTCACCTTGAAGATCATAGCTCCTCTGAAGACTGTGACTTCTCCAAGGAAGCAGGACAGGGTGGCTGGAAGCTTTCCCAATTCCTTTTTATACACTTTTCCTGCTGAGTCACTGGGGTGGTCCATGGCCCTGGGGTGGAACCAGTCGCATCCAGGTTGGTCCTTGCCTGCCTGCAAGGCAGTGGAGGCCCCTATGCCTGGAACTGCTGGAGCCTAGTCAGCCAAGCCAAGTTGATACAATGTATCAACTACCACATATGGCTATAGATCCCTTTCATCAATGCCTGTTGACTTTCAAAGCTTGGCTTTTTGCTTTGGGTTTTAGAGGGGTAGAAGTTTCTTTCTTCACTTTTGGTGCCATCTTGGTAAAAAATGGCAAATTCATTTTCAGATTGATATGAGTACAATTTTATAATTTACATTTCAACTTGTGTATACTTTGTCATTATATAAAATTTTTTAAAAAATATATTTAGTATAGGGACTACAGGGTCTCACTACACAGATTGGACTCCTGTTTTTAGCCTCCCAAGCACTGGGATTACAGGCACGCAGCACCACGCCCAGTCTCTACATTTGTTCCTAATCTAAAATTCTATGTGTCTGCCTTGCCTTAGAAAGTAATTCTTTTTTTTTTTCTTTTTTTATTTATTTTGTGTGTGTGTGGCCAGCTCAGCCCACCAGAGGGCGGGGCTGGCTGGCATGTGGTGCTGGGGGTAATCTAAAATTCTAATTATAAATGTTAATAGTGTTTTATAATTTTTAAATATTTTTATTGCTTCTATTGTATTTTCCGATCAGTTGTGCTATGTTACTTTCAGTATTTTTAAAGAACTAATTTTAATTTTTAGTTATTAATGTATGTATGTTCTTTATTATTAGTAGATTGTCCTTTGTATTATTATTTGTAGATATTTTTCTCTTTGCAAAATAATTTCATTAATTTCTGTTAAAGATTTTGTTTCTCTAGGCATAGTCAAATTTATGTGATTTATTTAAATGAAGCTTGTTTGCTAAGATGATTGTACTACTAATTTCTATCAGTTTTTTTTTTTAAGTTTTTTTTTTTACAGAAGGGTCTACCAGGTGTTCAGGGTCCCACTGCTAGATTGGACTCATAGTAATATGCCTATTTACAGCTTCCCAAGAGCTGGGATTACAGGCATGTGCCACCATGCTTAGTCTCAATTGCCATCTCAGTATGTTCTGGGAGCAGGGCTGGCACACAGGCCTGGGGATCAAACACCTGGCCCCTGTGCCTGCTTGCAGGTGCTTTAATCCACTGAGCTATTTGGGCAGCCCTTTATCAGTTTTTTGAAGGTAGCAGTTAATGATTACAGTTTTTATTTTGACTAATTTTACATGCTTATATCTGGTAATCTGAGCAACTACATTGAAGACAACAATGTGCAATATAATAACCATTGTTGAATACCTATCATCTTTTTTTGAAACTGTATCATTTATCTATCTTTTTTAGTCTCTTTAAAAAAGAATCTTGTTTGTATGTTTATAAAGGATACTTCAGATGTTAATTTTTTATTAAATAGGTGATCCATGCTTTAAATGGTCGTAGAAACTTAAGTCTTACTGAGGGACAGAGGTCTTATTTTACAAATTTTTTTAATCCATGTACATATACATGCATACACCACTCAGCTCTCAGGAATAGTAATTTTGCTACAGAGCACTTCATTGTCCTGAATTGCCTTTCAAAACATTAAGTTGAAAGGAGCTCTCATGTCAGAAAGAGACACTAATAAGGAAGAAAGCATATACTTGTATTTTGAAGAACATTTATTGCTTTATTTCAGTGACTCTAACACTAAGTATTGAAAAATGCTAATTGATGTGTTTATCCTTGCTTTTCTAGTGATATGCAGCTTTCGAGGGTCTGTTCCTCAAGGATTGGTCTTAGAAATAGGAGAAACGGTCCAGATTCTTGAAAAATGTGAAGGTAAGTGTGGACCTATACAACACATAAATAATAATCAATTATGACAATGTTAAATATGTTTTTATTTTGTACTGATTGTGTGTGGTCAATTGAAGTTATGGTCATCTTATTTAATACTATTTTAAGTTCCTTCTGATCTATGTTTAGATAAACATATGATGTTTTTTAGCTTTAATCTGTAGGAACAATTAAGTGATTAATTGTTGACTGTTAGAATATGTTGTTATATATCATGTCAAATGTTTATTTTTGATTTACTGCAAATAGATAATGTTCTATCCATTCTTATCTGTATGTAATCACTTTTGTTTGTATTTCTGTCAGTTTTGTTTAGTTACAATTAAGGCCAAAAATAGGCTTCAGTGAGGTTGGATTTGATTGGTGTCCTCTTCTATAGCATATTTGGGGATTTCTACTATAAAATACATGAATTCTTGAAATATATCATTTCTTAAAGGTTGTGCACTAAAATCAACAATATTTACAAGAAAAGTATAGTTAGGGAGAAATCAGAGAACATTAACAAAACAAATTTTTTTTCCCAAATTTACTTATTTATGTGTGTGTGTGTGGCCAGCTCAGCCCACCAGGGGGCGGGGCTGGCTGGCATGTGGTGCTGGGGGATTGAACCCGGGTCCCTGTGCTTTGCTAAGCTTGTTCTAAGTAGGTGCTTTAGACCACTGAGCCATCTCACCAGCCCCAACAAAACAAAATTGATACCATTGAAAATAACATGGGCAGGCTAGTTCATAATTAGAAACCATTTCCTCTAATACAGTGGGAAGCCCTTGTGATGTGAGAATGGAGACTGTTTGGAAGTAGATCTCTGACACAGTTAAGTTCTGTTAAGACAGTGTGAGAGTAAGTACAACCCACTGTGATTGAAGAATCATGTACATTTAGCAGTGTACTTTTCTGGATAGGGAGCTACAGTGTAGCATTTAGTTTAAATTTTAAGTGTGAGGTAAAATACTCTTAGTAGAATAAGAATAGAAAATAATTTTCTTAATCTGATAATGAATATCTACTAAAAAGCCTATAGCAACATAAGTTGTGAAATACTAAACTATCAGTAGTTACTTGTGAAATATAGAAAGGTTTCCCCTTGAAATCTAAAAATGAGAAAAAAATTCTATCTTCATGTCTATTAAGCTAGGTAAGGAAAAGAATAAAAGGAAAAAAATTGAAGCTATCATTTCTGAATGATCCTATTATGAATATGAGACATCCAGTAGAGCCCAAGCCCTGCCCCCCAAAAATGTAAGATAATTTAGTGGGTTTGATGACTGAAGTTTTTTTTAACCTTTGTATTTTCTTTATTATTTAGTACACTTGTATAGTACATAATTACATTTTCTGTAGAGAATTGGTATATGTACATAACACATTTCAATTTTTTAGCCTTTTATGTTTTCAGCATCAGATTCATCTATTTATAAGATCTTCTAAAGTTAATTATCATATATAGATTAAAAACCAGGCTAACAGGCCAAAGAAAAAAATGTAAGACAATTGTGCTAATCAGTGTATACTTTTATTATTTTTTATTTTTTTGGTAAATTTCATATTCTTTATGGTAGACAGTCAACACTTGCCCCAACAGCCATCTGAAGCCAATAGTCCAGGTTATTAAAAATCACAAAGTTGTACAAGTGTTACCCTCCTTTCCAGAAATCATGTTCCTTTTCTCTCCATGAAACGGGGCTGTCTGGGAAGCCTTGCATTGACAATGTGACCCACGGGGCTAACATACTCATCAAAGTATTGGCACAGCTGTTTCAGGAGAACACAGATTTTTCTCTGGGAGCATGAAACCAGTGACTGTACACAAATAAGCCTTTGTTGCCACTGTGCTTGGTTGGGGACAGCAATAAGTTGATATGAAGTTATTAGGCTCATTATTTAGGTCCACATTGCAGAAGACAGTGCTGAGCCAGTCGAAGAGCTCTGGAACACTGCAGAATCTCTCCTGCTCTCCATGGAGTTCACTGTTCTGCAGCTCTCGGCACTGCAGATTTCTCAGTGTGCTCACTGCCACTCCAGCCTGCTGCTCTTGAATGTGGTATTTGAGGGCACTGGGGAGATGGCTCAGTGGAATTTGTGCTTCCATGGCAAGTGCAAGGGCCTGAGTTCAATGCCTGGTTCCAAAAAAAAAAAAAAAAATCTGTTATTTGGAAAACTATAACAATAGTGTCAACTCTTCTGTACCTGTCTGATGCCAACTTAAAAGAAAATCAAATTTCAGTGGCTTTTCTTTCAAGCACCTAGATATTCTTTCATACTTCTTGGAATCCAGGTTAAGGGATAAATCCATCAAATCAATGGAAACAATAAATTTCATAATTTTCCTGCCAGAATACTGAGACGGACATCCTTGAAAGTCCAGTTTCTTTTTTTCTTTTTTTTTTTTTTTTTTTTTCAAAGCTTTATTCCGGAGGGGCTCAGTCCTTCTTGGCAGCCGCCTTCCTCATGGCGGCCAGCACGTTGCTCAGCTCCTCACGCTTCCTCTTGGCGCGGATGTGCGTCCCCACTCTTTTCTTGATGAACTTGAGGGCGCGCTTGTCCTTGGAGACCT